ATAGGCGAATGTTCTCACAAGAGGTTATCACCAGAACGGCACCTGACCAGTGAAGTGAAAGTGAAACTACAGCCTAAAAACTGAAAAAGCCGACTCGGCTGCTTCGTGAACATTATGTTATTGACCACGAATAATGCTTTAGGTATTGCTTTTTTTCTATTGCAGGTGTGGGAATATAATATTAGAATAACACACATACCTCAAACAGTTCGTTTAATTCATGTTGTGTGAAATCGATGCTTAACAAAATTTCTATCGACAGCACTCTAGTGTTTACCAATGGCGAATAGACGGTACGAGTTATCGGCCTTGATATTGTATGACACCCGGTGAGGGCACTGCGAAATCAGTAACATATTTTCCCGCCACTGGGAGTCGGCGGTCCCTTTACTTTAGGTCTCTGGTCAAATGTACCTGTGATTATAACAGAAAAATGTAATTGTACGGCTGGTGGATCCTACACATCAATAAGAGGGCAGGCGAAGCACAGTTCTTCAAAATTCTATGAAAAGCATACAATGTCTTAATGTACCACCTTGGAAAGATCCATCTCATTTCAAAGCTGATAATGTAATGAAAATGATAATGAAGTGTGTTAAAACTTAAATCCATAGCCAGTTACGTACATGGATGTCGACAAACATGCCAGTTTTATTACACATTATTGTCAGATTCCATGCATAAATCATACTAGGCATTTAGAATTTTCAGTTTTCTCACTTGTCACTATTCTAACCTGCTTTGACTAAGGCATTTAATTCCTATTGTATGTCTATCTATCATAAAAGCTAAACTAAAATAATTTCTTATTCCTTATTTTGTACTTTACTTACAAAAATATTGAGTAATGAGATTTTAATTACAAGGTGACCAACCACGAAAAGAAAGATTTGTCTTTTTGTAGACTGAACGTTCAACTTAATTACTACATTGTACTTGCGTTTTCTCCTTTTTAAAACGGTAAAATATACGTCGGCTGTCTCAAATGTATTCTGGTAATATGGGGCTATTTTATTACTACCAAGTTGCATCACTGTCACACCAATGATTTATACCAGTTATTGATTCTTCATCATCAAATGACATGAAAGACAAATAGGGTTATGCCCCCCCCCTATTCGGATCAAGTTTTCAATAAAAAAAAAGAAGCCAGAATTAAACATGGTATTATGGAGAGATTCATATATTTGCTACAGGAAAGGAGAATTACACCTACTTTTAAAAGTGAAAATGACCTATTTACTTGGAAATATGTTGTGATTGTGGCGTCACCTGGATGTCCTTGATGATTTACTGAATGGATAACTCAGTACTGTTTTCAAAACTTTTAACTTTTATGTGAATACCTATTAGCAGCAGTAACTCTCTTAAATAAGTGGGCTTCAAGATTCTGTGGTATCATTTGTTTTGTTTAGATACGAGTTGTGACCGGATCACAGTCGCTGAATGGTTGGACACAGAAGGATCAGAACATCCAACATGTATGTATATTGATATCAGTTCACAATTTCTAATCCTACTTCATTTTATGTATTAAGTATTTGAGTTTGATATTGGCTCACACACATTTTTGTTAGGAAATATTTTTGGACATTTTATAAAGTACTTTTACAAAGATTATGTATTCACAGAGACTGTGTTTCAAATAAATTAGCCAAACAAAAAATGTAGGCTCTGACAACTAATTTATGGGTAGACAGAAAAGTGGAAATGCAATTGTTTTGGGCCATATCTGATTTACACAAGACTGGTCTAATAAGTAAGTAATGTATTGTAAATGTAAAACAATTTCATTGTTTTGTTTATTAATCTTTAAAGTACTGTAGATTTACATGTTGTTTGAAGAGGATTATCTTTTTCATTCATTCAAATTGAACATTTCACATCATGTTAAATATTTAACCATCTTGATCTGGTAAAAGCCCTGGTTTATTTATCATTAAAGCGTCTGGCCCAAGAAGTTTCAACTAAAGTCCTTTTGTTTTAGAAAAATAGCAGATTTTTCTACACTGCTGTTCATAGATATGAAAAAAGATATTCTCGAATATATATTTCTATGATATTATTTGTGACATACAAGTTTATTCTCCAGGTGATGCTAGGGTTGGGTCAGATTGGACCCCCAAACACAACAAGTAAGGACGATGACTACAGTATGATGCATGGTCTGTCACACGCCATTGAGATCCTTTGTGAGCCAACAGAGATTCAGGCTGAAGACATGGATACGATCCAGAACAATGGACGAATCATTTGTCTAACTTCTGTCAAAAGGTCCGATCATGAACTGCATTACTGAATTTTTAAAGTAAAGTTTGCCTAGATTTATACTGACATTTTTATGTGATTTCAAAAAACATTCTTTGGGGGAATTTAATACTTCTTTCATGATCACAAGAAAATTATCTTTATAATCACTACACCAATAATCTATTAGTAATCAGGTCGTTTATAACGAAATATCTGGAAGATTCTTCTGATATGTAGGGAATTGAAGACAAAAAGTATGACGAGTTTACTCTCAGATGTGATAATAAAATAATATATGAACTTTATTGGTTTATTACAATTACGAAACAAGTTTTTCCAACTCAGAACTTATTATCAATCACGTTTGTTGGTCTAGATAGAAATGTACAGAGGGTCTTTCATCCTTGATACTCCAGGGGTTTACGCTCACTTACGCTCCTTGTACCTCTGGAATATGTCAAAGTAACATTGAAGGCACGCGGCTAGCTATTTGATTGGTCTAAGATAAAAAAAAAAAACCTGACCAATCGCTAGGCTAATACCTTACCTTTGTAGATTACAAATAAGCAACACCAGACTTCAAAACCATACAATTTTACCATTACGCTCATGCAGAATTCGTTGATGAACATCAAAGAATCAAACTAGTCTTCTTTGTCTCATCCACAAGGTGTTGCACACTGAGCCTTCAAATTTGTGATGACATTTTCAGGGGTGCAGAGACCGTAAGTGAGCATTACCCCTGGAGTATTGAGGATGAGTGTCTTTATGTGGGAGGAAACTCATTGTTTTCAATGAATTAAATGTATAGAGATGATGTGCCTTTTTTACCATGTTGCAGTGAAGCACAAGTAAGGATGTTGGAGGAATGTGTGACTGATGCTCTCAACCAGCACAACAAGTTGGCTGCCGCTTCAGACAGGTAGGCACAATTTCAGTCTCCATTTTTCTCCTTCTATTAGCATGAAACATACTGGTATTGTCATGTGTGATATTTGTGTCTTCTACAAAGTCAAGGTGACCTATTTGGATCTTTTTGTTGGCGTTTTCGATGGCGTTTTCAAGTACCGTCTTTGTATCACCGTAGCTGTTGTGTCAGTTACTCGCGGCCCCTCCACAAGTACCGTCTTTGTATCAACGTAGCTGTTGTGTCAGTTACTCGCAGTCTCTCCACAAGTACCGTCTTTGTATCAACGTAGCTGTTGTGTCAGTTACTCGCAGCCTCTCCACAACAACCGTCTTTGTATCACCGTAGCTGTTGTGTCAGTTACTCGCAGTCTCTCCACAAGTACCGTCTTTGTATCACCGTAGCTGTTGTGTCAGTTACTCGCAGCCTCTCCACAATTACCGTCTTTGTATCACCATAGCTGTTGTGTCAGTTACTCGCGGCCTCTCCACAACAACCGTCTTTGTAGCAACGTAGCTGTTGTGTCAGTTACGCGTGGCCTCTCCACAAGTACCGTCTTTTTATCGCCGTAGCTGTTGTGTCAGGTACTCGCGGCCTCTCCACAACAACCGTCTTTGAATCGCCGTAGCTATTGTGTCAGTTAGTCGTGGCCTCTCCACAAGTACCGCCTTTGTATCACCGTAGCTGATGTGTCAGTTACTCGCGGCCTCTCCCAAAGAACCGTCTTTGTATCACCGTAGCTATTGTGTCGGTTACTCGTGGCCTCTCCACAAGCACCGTCTTTGTATCCCCGTAGCTATTGTGTCAGTTACTCGTGGCATCTCCACAAGTACCGTCTTTGTATCTCCGTAGCTGTTGTGTCAGTTACTAGCGGCCTCTCCACAAGTACCGTCTTTGTCTTACCGTAGCTGTTGTGTCAGTTACTCACGGCCTCTCCACAAGTACCGTCTAAGTATCACCGTAGCTGTTGTGTCAGTAACTCGTGGCCTCTCCACAAGTAACAACCGTCTTTGTATCACCGTAGCTGATGGCGTTTTCCAGTACCGTCTTTGTATCACCGTAGCGGTTGTGTCAGTTACTCGTGGCTTCTCCACAAGTACCGTCTTTGTACCACCGTAGCTATTGTGTCAGTTACTCGTGGCCGCTCCAAGAGTACTGTCTTTATATCTCCGTAGCTGTTGTGTCAGTTACTCGCAGACTCTCCACAAGTACCGTCTTTGTATTACCGTAGCTGTTCTCTCCACAACAACCGTCTTTGTATGAACGTAGCTGTTGTGTCAGTTACGCGTGGCCTCTCCACAAGTACCGTCTTCGTATCACCGTAGCTATTGTGTCAGTTTCTCTTGGCTTCTCCACAACAACCGTCTTTGTATAAACGTAGCTGTTGTGTCAGTTACTTGCGGCCTCTCCAAGAGTACTGTCTTTGTATCGCCGTAGCTGTTTTGTCAGTTACTCGCGGCCTCTCCACAGCAACCGTCTTTGTATCGCCGTAGCTATTGTGGCAGTTACTCGGGGCCTCTCCACAAGTACCGTCTTCGTATCACCGTAGCTATTGTGTCAGTCACTCGTGGCCTCTCCACAACAACGGTCTTTGTATCGCCGTAGCTATTGTGTAGGTTTTTCGTGGCCTCTCCACAAGGACCGTCTTTGTATCACCGTAGCTGATGGCGTTTTCCAGTACCGTCTTTGTATCACCGTAGGTATTGTGTCCGTTACTCGTGGCCTCTCCACAAGTCCCGTCTTTGTATCGCCGTAGCTATTGTGTAGGTTTTTCGTGGCCTCTCCACAAGGACCGTCTTTGTATCACCGTAGCTATTGTGTCATTTACTCGTGGCCTCTCCACAAGTCCCGTCTTTGTATCGCCGTAGCTGATGTGTCAGTTACTCGCGGCCTCTACACAACAACCGTCTTTGTATCGCCGTAGCTATTGTGTCGGTTACTCGTGGCCTCTCCACAAGGACCGTCTTTGTATCACCGTAGCTATTGTGTCATTTACTCGTGGCCTCTCCACAAGTACTGTCTTTGTATCAACGTAGCTGTTGTGCCAGTTACTCGTGGCCTCTCCACAAGGACCGTCTTTGTATCACCGTAGCTGATGGCGTTTTCAAGTACCGTCTTTGTATCACCGTCGCTGTTGTGTCAGTAACTCGTGGCCTCTCCACAAGTAACAACCGTCTTTGTATCACCGTAGCTGTTGTGTCAGTTCCTCGCGGCCTCTCCACAACAACCGACTTTGTATCAACGTAGCTGTTGTGCCAGTTACTCGTGGCCTCTCCACAAGTAGCGTCTTTGTATCACCGTAGCTGTTGTGTCGGCTACTCTTGGGCTCTCCACAAGTACCGTCTTTGTACCACCGTAGCTATTGTGTCAGTTAGTCGTGGCCTCTCCACAAGTACCGCCTTTGTATCACCGTAGCTGATGTGTCAGTTACTCGTGGCCTCTACACAAGTACCGTCTTTGTATCGCCATAGCTGTTGTGTCCGTTACTCGCGGCCTCTCCACAACTACCGTCTTTGTATCACCGTAGCTGATGGCGTTTTCAAGTACCGTCTTTGTATCACCGGAGCTGTTGTGTCAGTTACTCACGGCCTCTCCACAAGTACCGTCTTCGTATCACCGTAGCTATTGTGTCATTTACTCGTGGCCTCTCCACAAGTAGCGTCTTTGTATCACCGTAGCTGTTGTGTCAGTTACTCGTGGCCTCTCCAAGAGTACTGTCTTTATATCACCGTAGCTGTTGTGTCAGTTACTCGCGGCCTCTCCACAACAACCGTCTTTGTATCGCCGTAGCTGATGTGTCAGTTACTCGTGGCCTCTCCACAAGTACCGTCTTTGTATTACCGTAGCTGTTGTGTCAGTTACTCGCGGCCTCTCCACAAGTACCGTCTATGTATCACCGTAGCTGTTGTGAGTACATTAAACAAACAAATACTTCCTCAAGTTTGATTTTGAGCCAAATCTAAAAAGCAACAGGATTGCGAGTGGCTTGGATTTTGAGAAAAGTCACATGGTTTCCATGCTATAAGTCTTTGAGGAATGCTTTGATTTTCGTCACTTTAATCTTTTTTTAACATCATTTTCAGCATTGAATTTCTTGATTTCCCCCAAATGAGAGATGTTTTTTTGTTTGTTTATAATTTCAACTTATGGTTGGTCGATAATCGATTATATTTGGAAAGAAAACAATCTAGTGTCCACCGATCATACAAAATACAATCTGTTGCATAATTTTCCATAGCTTTATTCCCTGTAATGTGGAATCAATTTCCAACCATGTTTTTAAAAAAAAAAGTCATGTTGGTAGCATAGTAAAACCTCGATAAAAGGTCTGCTGTGTACCTCTAAACAAGTAAAACCTCGATTAAAGGTCTGCTGTGTACCTCAAAACAAGTAAAACCTCGATAAAAGGTCTGCTGTGTACCTCTAAACAAGTAAAACCTCGATAGAAGGTCTGCTGTGTACCTCTAAACAAGGAAAACCTCGATAAAAGGTCTGCAGTGTACCTCTAAACAAGTAAAACCTCGATAAAAGGTCTGCTGTGTACCTCTAAACAAGTAAAACCTCGATAAAAGGTCTGCTGTGTACCTCTAAACAAGTAAAACCTTGATAAAAGGTATGCTGTGTACCTCTCAATTTCAAAGGTATTTACTGGAAGCAAATGTCAGAGCATTAGCCCAGCATGTGCTTGAAATGGGCTGGTTTTTTTTTAAATATATATGCAAAAAAGTAATAAAAACGAAAACAAATTTGTCGATAAAAAATAAATTCACATTAATTAGTAGATTGTTAACACAACTTTTAAAGTTTTTGAACCATGCCCGAATTTTTTGTGTATACATATTTGTCTTTAATTTGTAATTTTACCTTAATTCTGTGTAACATTTCTACCATCTTAAAGAGAAGAACAAACTCCAAAATTGATCTACATTAAACACCTTAATTTATTGAACACTATGAGTAACTCATTCACTCCTAAATAATAAACTGGACTTGCAAAGTCTTTGATTTGGAAAGGAGTGAATGATTAAAAAGTAGCACACATTCAAGTAATCATAGACAAAATGGACAAAACGGGAAAGAATTTAAGACAACCGAGAAAATGATCTCAGTCTGAAGTCCAACATGCCTGCAATACCTACTGAAGGGTTCAGCTATTGGATGGCAAGCTGCTCAAACTGGTTGCTGGTAAAGTTAAAAAAAACACCTTACATGCATAGTTCTGACGTTTGTTTTCTAGTTAAATTAGTCTGCCAACTCTCCCTATCTTGGAGGGAGACTACCAATATTGTACCCTATAACGAAACATTTTCAACCGGTGAATTGGCTAAGCTATTCCTATTTTCTATTTTCATGCCATTTAAAAAGTGGTTTTAATCAAGTAATTATTTTCATTCTTGATTCTTCAATCTACTACTTGTTAGAGCAGCCTGAACACAGTTACTATCAGGTAACAGTCCGATAATACTGGTAATCAATAATCTATCTTCTAAGACAATCTTTGGAGATCATCTGATTTTCCTGATTAATTACTTAAAATATGCCGATTTCCATCACTAATTTCTACACACTAACAGACGACAATTCACAAACACCATGTGGTACATGTGGTTTACGATTTGTGTGGGGAAAGTTTCAAACTTAGGTATTGCTCAGTTATCACTCTTTGATCATGTGAAGCAAAAATCGTGAATGATCTTTGGGACGGTGCTCAACATGAAAAATAGATTATGAAACACCTTTTTTGTGAGGATGCATATTTTTGGTGAATTAGCTGTAAACTTCATAAAATCACGCTGTACAAGACCATGGTAGCTTGGTAGACGTTTAGGGTAAATATACAGCTTAATGTGTGGTAATCATTTCAGATATATTTTGTATCATATAAGGAAAAAGGTTGGTAGATCTCATGTTGGCCGAAAAAGTTAAAGGGAAATATTAAACTTTTATGTTGGATTGGTTACAGTTTTGATATGTCATCAAGAAATTGATCTTAAATGTATTTGTGATGGATATCG